CTGGGCCGGCGGCTGTGGGCGGGGCCTAAAAGTTGTGGCTGGGCCGTGGGCGGGGCCATATGTTGCTTGGACAGCTGTGTGGCGGGGCTCCGATGCCCGGCGGAAGCGCTGTGGGCGGGGCCAGAAAGTTTTGCCTGACTGGAAGTGGGTCCAGATTGTTGGCGGGGACGTTGGGGGCGGACCCAGAGGCTGACGCGTGCTGGGGGCGGGGCCACTTTATAGTGGGAGCCAGGGGGCGGGGCCAGGGAGCTGGCGGGGAATGCTGGGGGTGGAGCCAGAAAGTTTCCTCTGAGCCACGGGCGCGGCCAGAGCGTTGGCGGGGAAGCGGGGAGCTGAGCCAGAACCCTGGGGAAGCCACGGGTGGGGCCAGATGCTGACCTAACGAGGTGTGGGCGGGAGTAAGGGGGCGTGTCCAGGAAGTTGGCCAGGCCAATCGGAGGCGGGGCCAGAGGGTTGACTGGGCAGGCCGGAGGCGGGGCTGGAATAATAATAATAAGAGATGGGAGGGGCGGGTCTGGGCTGTTGCCTGGGAGAAAGTCGGGAGGGGGGCTAGATTAATGGCCCATGGGTTGGGGCGGGGCTAGAGCGGTTTCCAGGATGTCGGGGAAGTGGCCCTGGCATTCCCAGCTGGATTGAGGCTGGATTTTTGCACAGAAAATCTGGGGCGGGCCTGGGTATTTTTGTCCTTGTTGGGGCTGGTGGAGTATTCACTGGGGCAAAAGGCCAGTTCCAGGAAGCCTCGCCAGTGAGTTCTGGGCCTGTGTACAGAATTCTTTCGGGGGAGGCGGGAGGCTGTTGAGCTTCCTCAGGGTGCTGAAGACCGGGACTAGGAAGTCCCTGGGGAAGGTGTGGGCTTGGCGTGTTCTCTGAAAACTTGGGCAGCCAATAAGAATGGGGTTCAGACTTTCTTTGAGCGTGGGATTTGGAATGTTTCTGAACCTTACCTGGCGGAGCTAGAATATTCGCCTGAATTTGAGAGGCACCAGGATGAGCACAGGGAGGTGGGTCTGGAACTTTCTTGTGTAGGCTGGTTGGAGGGGTTGTAGTTGGAACTCTCGATAGGGAACCGGGCTAGCACTCATACCACAGGGTATGCAGGCTGGACTAGAATCTGCGTTTGGAGGAGAGCAGTGTTGGATACTTAAGTAGTGGGTGGGGGCCAGAATATCCCCAAGGTGGGTTTCACTAGATTGTTTACATGGGAACTGGGTGAGTCCACAAAGATCATGAAAGGGCTGAGTCTTAATTTCTTTCTTTCTTTTTTTTTTGGGGACGGAGTCTCGCTCTGTTGCCCAGGCTAGAGTGCAGTGGCGCAATCTCGGCTCACTGCAAGCTCTGCCTTCCCGGGGTTCACGCCATTCTGCTGCCTCAGCCTGTAGCTGGGACTACAGGCGCCGGCCACCACGCCCGGCTAGTTTTTGTATTTTTAGTAGAGATGGAGTTTCACCGTGTTATCTAGGGTAGTCTCGATCTCCTGACCTTGTGATCCGCCCATCTCGGCCTCCCAAAGTGCTAGGATTACAGGCGTGAGCCACCTCACCCGGCCCATCTTAATTTCTATGGAGAAAGTAGAGCTGGCAGTTGAAGGGAGGGAGAGTGAGGGCTAGAATTCTCTTGCGGTACAGGTTTTTTTTTTGTGTATGGCTGTGAGGAGCCCCCAGTATGTTAGAGGACGAAGTAGATTGGGGGGCCATTGGCCTTAGTCCTTCTTTTTCCTCTGCCCCCAGGAACCCTCAGTGCTGTGTCTAGATTCTACAGGGGAGGTTTGCTGGGACCTTAACCCCACCGAGCCAGCGAAATGGTGAGGCTGAAAGTGGGTCTCTAGAATCTCAGTTTTGGGGAAGGGGGCTTGGGAGGATGGGATCCAGGGGGGCAGACTCTCAGACCCCAGGGAAAATCCCTGGTATGGATGGAGGTTTTTCCTTCCATCCCTCAACTGCCTCCCGGTCTCAGGCAGCCACACTCGATTTGAAATCAAAGGAGGAGAAGGATGCTGAGTTGGACAAGAGGATCGAGGCTCTTCGGCGGAAGAATGAGGCCCTCATCCGGCGCTACCAGGTGCCCTAGCCCCGTCCTGGGAGACCCCATCCCCTCTCTTCCCCGCAGTGAGTTTTTCTCACCTCTCCCTTACAACCTTTTCATGGCTCCCCATCACTGTCAGGATAAAAGCCAAAGGCCTTAGCCTGACATCCCTTCTTTCATTCCATTATTCATTCATTCATTCATTTGTTCACAAGTATTCCCCAAGAGCTTTACCATACCAGCCCGGGTGCTGAGTGGTGCTGGGGATACAGCTGTGACAGAGACAGACCCAGGCCTACCCCTCCAGGGTCCACCGTCTAGTCAGGGATGTCCCAGAGCGGACAAGTCTGGAATCAGGAAATCCAGGGGTCTGTGGGAGTCCGGAGGAGGCTCCTCCCCAGCCTTGGGGATATCAGGAAGGGTTTCCTGGAGGAGTGGACTTTGAGGCTTGAGTGGTGAGTAGACAATAACCAGTTGAGAAGGAGAGGGGAACATGTTTCAGGCAGAGAGAACAGTTTGTGCAAATGTTGGAAGCGAGAGAGAGCTTGGAGCTTCAAGTTGGAGGGTTGGTTAGGAGAGAATTGACCTGGGCAGGTCAGCAGGGACTAGGCTGTGCGGGGCCCTGAATGCCACCAGGCTGAGTTTGAACTTTGTCCTGAGGGCGCTGGGGAACCAGGGAGAGCCTTGAGCAGGGGTGGGACCCGTCAGAATAGTTCTTTAGGAAGATGCCTCTGGGTGCTGTGTGGTGGTGGGTGGGAGGAGGTGATACTGGAGCCCAGTGACCGAGGAGGAAGCTGGGGCTGGAACCCTAGTAGGAGAGGAGGTACCTGGCTCAGGGCAGGGCTGTTGAGAGGAACTCAGTTGCTAAAGAGCAGTTGGGGGCAGGGGGAGGAAGAGGGAGGATTTAGGACAAGGCCACTGAGTAGGTGGTGTGGCTGTCCCTGAGATGGGATCTGGGGGGAGGCATGGGTTTCATTTATTCATTCTTCATGAAGTCATTCATTTTATAAAAGGCATATTGAATTTCCCTTGTGGGCCAGGCAACGTTCTAGACTTGGGATACATGTCAGTGACATACATCACTGAAAGCGGACCGACATTCCTGTCCCCAGGCAGATTCTGCTGTAGTGGAGGAAGCAGACAGTGAGCAAGATGCACACGGTGCTGGGTGCAAATGGGATGAGATCAGAGAGGGTGGCAGGGAGCTGGTTTCCGTAGGGTGCTCAGGGAAAGCCTCACCAGAAGGCAGCATTGGAGCAGAGACCTGCAGGAGGTGAGGGGTTGGAAGATCTCTGGGAAAAGTGTTCCTGGCAGAGGGAGCCGCTGGTGCAAAGCCCCCGAGGCAGGTTTGAGCTGAATGTGTTCTGGGAATAGCAAGGAAGCCAGAGTGATCGCGGGGCAGAGGGTGAGAGACGAGGTCAGGGAGGTACCAAGGCCAGACCCCACGGGTCCCACAGGATGCGGGGAAGGCTGTTACTCAGAGATGGGCACTACAGGAGCGTTTTGAGTGGGGCAGCAACGTGATGGGGTTTGAGGGATATGAGTGGCCTTCTTGTCCAGAGCCCAGGAGAGAGGCCTGGGCTGGGGCCAGACTTAGTCGGAGATCAGGGGTCTGTGGGAAGCTGTCTGGCGGTCAGGGCACCTGATGCTTCCCTACCCCGGGTGCTGTTCCTAGGAGATTGAGGAAGACCGTAAGAAAGCTGAACTTGAGGGAGTCGCGGTCACAGCTCCCCGAAAGGGCCGCTCAGTGGAGAAGGAGAACGTGGCAGTGGAGTCGGTGAGCTCATCACTGGGGTTAGGGATCGTGGGGATGGGGAGGGGCAGAGGGTTGAGGCCTGGGACCCAGGAGCCCCCAGCTGTCCTGCACCAGTGGGTGGCCTCCATCCTGGCCGCATGCCTGCCTGCCCCAGTGACTGTATTTTCCCCATCTCCCCTCTTCCAGGAGAAGAACCTGGGTCCTTCCCGGAGGTCTCCTGGGACCCATCGGCCCCCAGGGGCCAGCAAGGGGGGCCGGACTCCTCCACAGCAGGGAGGCCGGGCTGGCATGGGCCGAGCATCGCGCAGCTGGGAGGGCAGTCCTGGGGAGCAGCCTCGAGGAGGAGGAGGAGGTGGGGGCCGTGGCCGGAGGGGCCGGGGCCGGGGTTTCCCTCACCTCTCTGGAGCTGGAGACACCTCAATCTCTGACCGTAAATCTAAGGTAGGAGCTAGGCAGCACCTGGAGCCCTGGCTGAGATTCTCTGTTGTCTGTTTGTCTGTTCCTCCTCTCAAATGCACAGTTGTCCTGTATGTCCATCTTTCGGCATCTCTCTCTGAGCCTCTGCCTCTGGCTCTGCTTCTGTCTTCCTTTACCACCTCCTCCTCCTCCTGCTCTCTCTCTTCTATTTCCTCCTGTTCCTTCCCTCTCTCCTCACGCCCAGAGCTCTCATGTTACTCCTTGTCTCTTTCTCTTCTGCCCGTGTTCCCCCTCTTCTCATTCCTCCCCGCCTTCCTTCCCTCCCTCTCCTGCAACACCTAGTGCTGCGTGTCCTCTGTCGCTCGCTCTTTGTCTCCCTTTTTCTGGCTTTCTGGTGCATGCTTGCCCGCTCATCCTCTGTCCCCACCTCTCCTGCCTTTCTGGCACAGTTTGTGTGTCTGGTGGGCTGTCTCTTATCTGGTGTGCTTGTGGGCACAGGCTCTGTGTGTGTGTCTGGTGGGCTGTCTCTATCTGGTGTGCTTGTGGGCACAGGCTCTGTGTGTGTGTCT